GCAGGAAAAATAAAGCAAACAAATAAACAGAGGCAATAGGACCTGGGAGACATTCTTGAACAACTCAGAAAGATTTAAAAATTCGATTGCTACCTACGAATAGAGATGGGATCAGCAAGATGGCTCAGCCAGTAAGGACCTATGCCACCAAGACTGACAACCTGAGTTCAATACCTGGACTCACAGCAGGAAAGGAAAAAACTGAGTCTTGCAACTTGTCCTCAGACCACATTCTCACTGTGGCATGCAAGGCCCCTCCCTACTAAAATATAGTAATAATAAATGTGAGCTATATAGAGATAGACGCTTAGAATTACTTGCATGTATGACATTGTCCATGTACAACAGTTGAAAAAATAGGTTAGGGAGTGAATTACCTCTTTTTGATAAGCTCAAATCAGGTCATCTTTCTCATGTAGGTTTAATATAATATAATAACACTACTTATACATGAGGACACTCTGGTGATGTGAATGAGAATAGCCCCCACAGGCTCATAGACTTGGATGCTTGGTCAGTAGGAGTGGCACTACTAGGAAGGATTAGGAGGTGTGGCCTTTGTTGGAGCGCCTGTGTTCCTGGGGGTGGGCTTTGAGGTTTTCAGAGGCCCAAGCTCGGGCCAGTTGCTCTCTTTCCCTACTGCCTGTGGATCAGGATGTAGAACCCTCAACTACCTCTCCAGCACCATGTCTGCCTGTGTGCCACCATGCTTCCCACTATGACAACAGAATAAACCTCCTGAAACTATAAGCAAGCCCCAATTAAATGCTTTTTTTTTCTTTTTAGAGAAAAAGACATGCTGTGGTCATGGTGTCTAAGACACACACGAGAACACTAAGACAGACACTGTGAGGGCTCCACAAAAGCAATACAAATATTTAACAAAATCACACACTTATCCATCAATAGAGCTAGAACACAAAATTAGTGGTTGCCTTGTGCTAAAGGTAGAAAGTAGGTTGACTGATTGGCCAGAGGTATCTTCTGAAGTGGAGGGGAAAAGCTTAAAAACTAGATTGTAACAATGGTGCACAAAGCTTTAAGTTTATTAAGTGGAATTTTGCATTTACAACAGGAGACTTGAGGGATGGAGCATTGACTCTGGGGTTAAGAGCACTTGTCCTTGAAGAGGATCCTGGTTCAGCATTCAGCACCCACATAATGACTCACGACTACCCACAACTCTAGTTCTGAGGGATCCTGCACCCTCTTTGGATTCCACCAGTACCAAGTACTCATATGATGCACACACATACATGAAGGCAAAAACTCACACACACAAAATATTTAAATCTGAAAAAATTAAACAGGAGGCTTTTGTAATATGTAGATACCACCCCTTGGAAACCACTAATTTACTTTCTGTCTGTATGAACTTTATAATTGATATTTTCCATAAGTGGAATCCTATTGCCTTTGGCATATTGTGTCTGGCTTCTTTTATTTACTATAATGTTATAGAAATGCAGCTGGAAAAATAGTTCTATAATTAAGAGTGCTAACTGTTCTTACAGAAGACCAGAGCTTGATTTCCAGGACCCACACCAGGTGGCTCACAACAGCCTATAACTCCAGTTCCAAAGGATACACACACACACACACACACACACACACACACACAGAGAGAGAGAGAGAGAGAGAGAGAAAGTTAAAATCCCTAAAAAGTTCTTCCAGCCATCAGCTGATAAGTGCTAGGTAGCTTCCAAATTTGGGCTGTTGTTTTTGTTAATAATGCCAGCGTCATTTGTGTATAAGTTTCTGTTTGGGTGTGTGTTTCAAATCTACTTATACATATCTCACAGTTACAAATGTCTTCATTTCTGAATCCTTTTCTGCCTGATTCTATTTAATTTCTAAATCTTCTAAATCCACCCTCCAACATGTCTACATGAAGCAGAAGCCCATTTAGAACCTCTGAAGTTTAATTTTTTTTTTTTTTTGGTTTTTCGAGACAGGGTTTCTCTGTGGTTTTGGAGCCTGTCCTGGAACTAGCTCTTGTAGACCAGGTTGGTCTCGAACTCACAGAGATCCTCCTGCCTCTGCCTCCCGAGTGCTGGGATTAAAGGCGTGCGCCACCACCGCCCGGCTGAAGTTTAATTTTTTAAAGAGTTGCCCTGCTCTTTCCTCCAGTGCTCACACTGAAAGTCAAAACCTCTTCACATCCTCCTAATGTATATTTTGTTTTCCTTTAAAAATTACAGCCATGCCAGGAGACTCCCCTAACCAAGCCGGCTAAGGGAGACTAGCAACATCGGCAAGCTCTGGGTTTGACTGAGGCACTCTACTTCAATAAATAAGGTGGGAGAGTAAATGAGAATAATTCCTAATATCAACCTCAGACCTACCTCCACAAGCACTTGCACACAGGTGCACACACATCCATACATACGTGCTCAAACACATGTAAACATGCACACCACACACATGTAAAAATGGGAAAAAATACAATGGAATAATATAAATGCCAGTTATCAGAGAAAATGTGCCAGGCTGTCACAGGTAGCTTTTATTTCCATTTTCCTTAACAGCTAAATTTGATGAAGTGTGACTTGCTTGTGCATTTCATGTCATATTTATAAAGAGATCACCTTCCCACAGCTTCTGGTCTCTAAAATCAATCATCAGTAATAGGAATCAAGTCTCTTTGGAGAAATGGCTGATGCCAAGAGCTTCCAGGAGTAAATAATCATCTTTACTTCCAGAAAGTATGGGAACACTATCATTATGTATCTCAAAGCAACACAGGAGTCAATGAGAAAGGTCCTGTGTCTAAAGCTGCACTGACATGGGCAACAAAATGAATAATATAAGCCAGTGGTGGTGCCACAATGCCTTTAAGTCCAGCACTTGAGAGGCAGACACAGGTGGATCTCTGAGTTTGAGGCCAGTTTGGTCCAAAGAGTAAGTTCCAGGACAGCCAGGGCTACACAGAGAAATCGGTCTCAAAAAACCAAAACACAACAACAAAATGTAGTTCAGAATTGTGTAGACAGAAGTTTCTGTCCTGCCCAGTCCCATAGCCATTCAGTCCCAAATAAACACACAGAGGCTTATATTAATTATAAACTGTTTGGCCTATTGCTCTGACTTATTGCTAACTAGCTCTTATTACTTAAATCCACCCATAATTCTTGTCTATAGTTAGCCATGTGACTCGGTACCTTTTCAGTAAGGCATTCTCATCTTGCTCCCTCTGCATATGGCTGGTGATTGACTTTTCTCTTCCCAGAATTCTCCTACTCTGGTTGCCCCACCTATACTTCCTGCCTGGCTACTGGCCAATCACCACTGTATTAAACCTACATGAGTGACAAATCTTTACAGTGTGTGAGACCATTATCCCATAGCAGGATTGCATTCACAGAATAAACTAAATGCCATGAATCTACACCACATAACAAATCATTGAATACCTTAGTTTCTAGAAAAGAAGGCATTCCAATTAAATTCCTAACCTGCTTTCTGTTTCAAGTGATACAGCTGGAATATTGAAATGCCCACGTGGGGTCATGGTTTTAAACACTTGTTCTTCAGCTGGTAGTGTTATCTGGGGAGACTATGGAGTCTTTAGGAGAGAGCGCCTGGATGGATGAGTCCTTGGAGGATAAGTTACCCCTGCCTGGTTCCTCTTTTGCTCTCGGTTTTTTGGTCCATCATGATGAGAACAGCCTCCACCCCAGGCTCCCGACATGAACTGAATGCTTTCCCATGCCTTCCTTGCCATGATGAACCAGATACCTCTGATACTAGGAGCCAAAACAAATCTAATGTGCTATTGTGAATGCAGCAAGGCAAAGGTAACTAAACCATGTGGATTTACCCATTCCTGATATGACCTGACCCTTTGCACAATGTTTCAAGGTTCATCTGCGCTGCAGAGTGTTCTTTTTCTGCCCAGAATACAAGCTGCTGCTGTGGCACACTTCATTGAGTTGCCTCTGCCTTCTGCTCACTATGAATAGCACCTTTGAGAATAACACACGTTTTTATTTCAATAACTGTTTTCAATTTTTGCTAGAAAATGCAGGCATTATTCTTTAATTCAAAAAAGGAAATGACCAGCTTCTTAAAATCTCTAGACAATTCAACAAGTATTTACTGAGAATCTATCAGCTGCCTGAATGGCAAGTCTGGGGGATTACAACTTGAGACAAAAATCACTTTCGACTTCTTTGCACAGGAAAGTAGAATAGCAGTAAAACTCAGACCTTTTAACGCGTGGGTTTAACTATTCCTTTTACATGTGAACAGAAGGCAGGGGTGGGGCATGGAGAAGTGAGGGAAGGGAACAATTTTGAAGAAAGCGTAACGGCATATATATGCATATATACACATATATAAACACATATACCACAGAACCATTACTTGCACGATAACTTACAAAGTTAATTTTCAGGACAAGAGAGATGGCTCAGGAAGTAAAGGCACTTTCCAGCAAGCCTGACAGCTAGTTTGGAATTTGAGTACCAGAAACCAGGCCTTAACTGACTGTCTCAAAAGCAAACAACCACTAAACCTCACCCTGTCCGCGCCTGCACGCATCACCTCATCACAGTGGGTCGCAGGGTTATTTCTTTGGTTTGCTCTTTTGCCCCTGTCACCTCTGTCAGAAGCTCAAGTCTCTGCAAGCCTGACTGGCTCAGTTCCCAGCAATACTTCCATCTCCTGAGAACTCTGACTCTCCTCTAAGCACTTTCTCTCAGTCTACAGCCATTCCCCGAACACGCAGCCCCTGAAAGACTAGTGACCAGGTCACCTAGGTGAAGTGCAGCGAGGCGCAACCGGATTCCCACCAGGCTGTGCTGCGCAAAGGCGAGCTGCCTCCGGGGTGCCTCCCGTGGTAGCTCCGCCCCAGTCCCGCACCACCACGCCCACAGACCGGGGGGGGGGGGGGGGAGGATAAGGTGGGGCGTGACGTCACAGACAGCGGCTGCCCATTGGGTCGTCGTGCGCGCCGGGGCCGGGGGGCGTGTCTACGAGCGCTGATTGGCTGGCGCGCGCCGGCGGGGCGGAGCCGACCGCGGGCCGGGAGCGCGGCGGCGGCGGCAGCATGGGTCCTCGCCCGCGGCTTCCCTGAGCCTCGCTGGCCTAGGCTGCCCGCGGCGCCCGCAGCGGCGGCGGCATGAAAGGGGCCCTGGGGAGCCCGGTGGCCGCCGCGGGCGCCGCGATGCAGGAGACGTTCGGCTGCGTCGTGGCCAACCGCTTCCACCAGCTGCTGGACGACGAGTCGGACCCGTTCGACATCCTGCGCGAGGCCGAGCACCGGCGCCAGCAGCAGCTGCAGCTGCAGCGCAAGCGGCGCGACGAGGCGGCGGCAGCCAGCGGGGTCGGGCACCGCGGCGGCCGGAGCACGGCTGTGGTCTCAGGACACAGACCCGGCGCGGCCGGCCGCAGGGAGTCGCAGAAAGAGCGCAAAAGCCTCGCGGCAGCGAGCGCACAGGAGCCGGACAACCCTGGGGGCCCGCAGCCGTCAGGTACGCCGTGGGCATCCAGCTCACCCCCTCCGCCGCTGGACTCTGGTCGCGGGGACAGGTCCCGCGTGGGCGAGTCAAGTCAGAGCTGGGAGTCCTGATGGGCGCAGGGCCCCCTCCAGGGTAATCACCCTAATAACCCTCCCGTGGGTTATTATAATATCCTACCCTCCAGGGTCACCCCCTCAGAGTCAAATTTCCTGGAGTCAGTCTCTCGCAAGATATGACCCTCCAGGGCCACCCTTCTGGGTTGTCACTTTTCCAGGTCACCCTGTCTCGGTGTAGAGGCCAGGGTCTTAATCCCGGTGGGCTCATCACAGTTGAGGGAGAGTAAGCAGGGCAGTGAATTTTGATGGACCGAGGATCCTTGGTTACTCTCCCAGGATCCCTTATCCTCGAGAAGGGGTAGGGGAGTCATCCTCCCTAGTGGGGTCGGGGGGTCCTTGTCCCTATGGACTCGCTCTGCGTCGGGGATGGAGTGGACCGAGCTGAAGGTTCTTGATGGATGAGAAGGCCCGGGGTCCAGGTTCGGTGGAGGGTCCGGGGACTGACAGGCTGAGGGTTGCGAAGCTAAGATCCCGACATCTGCCCCTGGCTGCATCCTTCATTCCTTCACCCCCCCCCCCCCGCCCCCCCGCGGGCCTCTGCGGGATTCAGCTCCGTAGGCGACGCGCAGTTGAAGCCTTCAGGGATCCCAGACTCTGGGCCTCGAGATTCAGGGAGGCCTGGGCACCCGAGGGTGCAGGAGCCCCGGAACGGCAGACCCTGAGCTTGGGGTCCCGGCTTCTCTGCGCCTTATCCCTTTTCTTTATCTCCCTCTCGTAGCTTCTGTGGCATCGATTGCAGGTGGAACAGATAGCGTAGGTGGGGAGTGTAACTGTAATTGATTCAGTACTGCTTTTGGAGAGCCGGCTTTAACCTTTGCAGTCAAAATGTTCAAAGTTACCCTTTCTGGTTAGCAGAAGGGCCAACCCTCTGCTGGGTGTGCTTGTGTGCACAGCAGGCTCCTTCAGACTTCGGGGCTGTCACCTGAACTGCGTCAAGGCTTTTGCAGCCACGCTCTTGCCGCCTGCTTGCCCCGTTTTCCCCGTGATAACGTAGGGTTGGCAAGAAGGAGTATTGAGACCGGAGTGCAGTTTAACCACGGGGTAGGCAGGTATTCCTGTGAGCATTATTGCTTTGTCCTTGCTTGAGAAAAACGGTCTAGAAAACCTCTAGCTTTACGGTTGAGGCTTCGGCTAGGTAATGTTTACTGTAATCTGTGAAGTTAATTTGAGACATTGCTTGAGAATCAAAATTATTACAACGAAGATGGATACCACAGTGGGTGTAGGATTTCTTTTAAAATTGAAATGCATTAAACTGTACAGTTTTACTATGTATTTCTCTTAAACGCATTTATAAAAATGGAAGGGAAAGATTAGAGAAAGGCTGTTTTGCCTATTTACTTCTGTTTTGTTTGTTTTTTGAGACAGCGTTTCTCTGTAGCTTTGGAGCCTGTCCTGGAACTTGCTCATAGACCAAGCTGGCCTCAAACTCAGAGATCTGCCTGTCTCTGCCTCCCGAGTGCTGGGATTAAAGGCGTGCCACCCTCCCTCCATCCTCCCCTCTATTTACTTCTTAATCAAGTGAAAATATATTAGCCTTTGAAGAGTACCAGTTAAATTTTTAATTTGTTATTGTTGTTGTTTGTTTGTTTTTTGAGACAGGGTTTCTCTGTATGACAGCCCTGGCTGTCCTGCAACTAGCTTTGTAGACCAGTCTGGCCTTGAACTCAAAGAGATATATGCCTGCCTCTGCTTCCCTAGTGCTGAGATTAAAGACGTGTACCACTACGCCTGGCTAAAATGTCGATTTTTTTTAGCCCTTTAAAAATTAGAAATATTTTTGTTATGATGACCCAGTGTTTGATGCATGATGAGCAAGTGATCCACCCCCCCTCAAGCAATCTCAGAAATGTATGAAGCTAGCAAATGGGTCCCTTATTTTTTATTATCAGTAGCACTATGCATTATATACATATATTTATGTAATGAAAGCACAGTGTGGGTCGAAAACATGAGGACCTCATGTTCAATCCCTAGTCTGAATCCATGAGCCCCAGAGAGAGGCCTGGTCTCAGAGGGTATGAACCAGGGTTTACTCTCGCTTCTGGATCCATGCGCACACTGGCACACGCGTGCACACAGCACATTGCTGTTTCTGTTTTTGCAATCTACTCTCTCACTTGGAACCGTAAGCTAGTAGACTTAGAACTTTCTTCTGTCAGTCCACAGTCTAGGGGTTCTGGCTTTAGAGACCTAGTTGATGCTGTTAGAATGGAAATTTTGAAATGAGGGTTCTTTTTCCAAGTGTGCATGATTACCATGCCCGAGGCTCCTGTTCTAAATGTATCTGATGGACCGCAGAGAGTGACTGTAGGTGTTAGTGCTAACTGACATGAAAGACCATGGTTCACTGTGCTCAAAATTTTTTTTTTTAATTTAGCCGGGCAGTGGTGGCACACACCTTTAATCCCAGCACTCAGGAGGCAGAGGCAAGCCGGTCTCTGTGAGTTCCAGGCCAGCCTGGTCTACAGAGCTAGTTCTAGGACAGCCAAGGCTACACAAAGAAACTCTGTCTTGGAAAAAAAGAAAAAGAAAAAAATGCAAACTTTGAATGTCCTGAGTGAATGTAGTGAGCACAAATACTCAGCACATTTGCTGTGTAACAGAACAGTTGCTGATCTCAATGATGTAGAAGTCACTATTTTTCCCATGGAAATACAGATTTCTAGTGTTCTTGTCGGTCTAATGATGACCCTTGGGTGAGCCTTGTCCAATAAATTCATTCTTCAATCATTGGTTGTTCCATTCTTGTTTTCATAGACTTTCAGGGTTCTGGTGGATAAGCCCACATTCAGTTCTGTCTTTTAGGAAGTCTTATTGTAGACAGCTGACAGCTCCTTATTGAAAGGGCTGGGGAAATGCAGCATCTGCAACTGCCTTGCTGATTCAGCACAGAGAAACAAGCTAGGTCCAGTTGCATCTGGATCTCCTAGAACCAAGTTGTGGGGGAACACGGAAATCTCTCTGGTTACCTTTGTTTTGGGATTTTAGAGAACTGTAATGTTTGCAAGGTATTCCATTATTATAATAAATTACATTTAGTAGTTTCAGTTTATACACAGGGACACTGGAAGACACTTAATCGATTAAGTGTCTTAGAAATAACTAAGAGAAGCCGGGCGGTGGTGGCGCATGCCTTTAATCCCAGCACTCGGGAGGCAGAGGCAGGTGGATCTCTGGGAGTTCGAGGCCATCCTGGTCCACAAGAGCTAGTTCCAGGACAGGCACCAAAGCTATAGAGAAACCCTGTCTCGAAAAAAAAAAAAAAAGAAAAAGAAATAACTAAGAGAAGCAGAAAGAAGTGAGAATAAGCACTTCAGCAATTCTGTAGCTGAACGGAGATACATAGTTAAAAATATGAGTGGCAAGTGGGAAATCAGAAGCTGATTAAAAATAATAGTTCTTTTCTTGAAAAGATCTTTTTTGTCTTTTATGTGTGAGCATATTTGCCTTCATGTGTGTATATATACAGTGTATATGCATTTCAATGCCCACAGAGGCCAGAAGAGGGTGTCAGATCCCCAGAACTGGAGTTACAGATGGCTGTGAGCTACCATGTGGTTGCTGGGAATTGAACTCAGGACCTCTGGAAGAGCAGCGAATGCTCTTAACCTCTGAGGCATCTCTCCAGCCCTCACCTTATTTTCTTGAGACAGGGTCCTTTAAAATAAATTTAATGACTTATTTTATTTCATGTACATTGATATTTTGCTTGCATACATGTCTGTGTGAGGGTGTCGGATCCTTTGAAACTGGAGTTACCAACAGTTGTGAGCTGCCATGTGGGTGCTGGGAAGTGAACCCAGGACCTCTGGAAGAGCAGTCAGTGCTCCCAACAGCTGAGCCATCTATCTCTTCAGCCCCCTAGAGACATACTTTTCTTTCCTTTCCCTTTCTCTCTTTCATTCTTTTTTCTTTTTCTGAGCCCAGATTTCTCTGTGTAATCTTGACTGTCCTGGGACTCTCTGTAGACCAGGCTGTTCTTGAACTCAGAGATCCACCTTCTTCCCAAGTGCTGGGAGTAAAGGCCTTTGCCACCACTGCCTGAGACATGGTCTTTCAATAAAGCCAGAACTCTACTGTGTATCTGTACTAGCTGACTAAGGCTAGTCTGCCTCCCTAGTGTTGGTGTTACAGGCATTCTTCATCACTCTTGGCTTTTCTCTAGGTTCTGGGTGTCTGAACTCTGGTCCTCATAATTTGCACAACAAGCACTTTGCCCACTGAGCCATCTCTCCAGCACCCAATTTTGATTTCTTGGTAATGTAAATTTTTGCAATCAAAGTTCTATTTATATCTCTCGATGTTCTAAGCATACCACAAACACCTATCTTCATGCCAGAAGATAGACCCTAGTTGCCCTTGGTTTGTTTGTAGCTAGGATTCTTTTTTGTTTTGTTTTGTTTTTGTTTAGCTTTTCAAGACAGGGTTTTTCTGTGTAGTCCTGGCTGTCCTGGAACTCTCAGAGATTCACCTGCCTCTGCCTCCTGAGTGCTGGGATTAAAGCACCACCAAGCCCAGCTGCAGATGGGATCCTAAAAGTATTGTCTGAGGTACAGGGTTTTTAATCCTTTAATTTTCCTAGATGAGTCTTTATCACTATGGCTTGGTAAAGGTGTATTTGTGAAATGCCATCCATCCAGTAAAAGACACCTGACAGCATTCACAGAGGCACCGAAAAAATGTCAGACTAGCCAAGCATGGTGGCACACCCGAGGCAAGATGGTCATCAATCCTGTAAGTCTGTAGTTGGTATGGGCTAACCCTGGCATTTCCAGGACATGGTGCAGTTTTCTAATTAGCAGACACGGCACTGGGAGGCGGTGACTGTTTCTCCCTGAAGCCCTCGCTTTCCAGCGACTTTGATTCTGGGCAGAAACCGTGGTGCTGTGGATGCTGTGCTTGAGCTTTGCTTTGGTTCCCCGCAGGCCAGAAGCGGACTCCCAGAAGAGGGGAGCAGCAAGGATGGAATGACAACCGGGGGACAGACGCGCTTGATAGAGCAGAGCGAAGGCCCTACAGGGAATATCGACTCTATGACACTGAGAGACAGGCAGACTTGGCAGCGGAGAAGTTTACAGATGAAAAGTATGTACCTTAGTCCTCGGTTAGGGTGGCCGGGGCCCCAGAGATTTCCAGATAACTACTAGGCTTTGTGACATTTCTGTGGTGGCAGTCCTACGAATAATTTGCCAAGGTAAGTCTCAAGTCATGTTACCTTCAGTAGAACATGAAGGATCTTCCATTTACCTATACCTTAGTATATAGGAAATGATTATACAATTAAAAATTAATTGTGGCCGGGTGATGGTGCACGGCTTTAATCCCAGTACTTGAGAGGCAGAGGCGGGCAGATCTCTGAGTTCAAGGCCAGCCTGGTCTACAGAGGGAGCTCCAGGACAGCCAGGGCTGTGCAGAGAAACCCTGTCTTGAAAAACAAAACAAAAAAAAATGTGGGTTCGGGGTGCAGCTCAGTGGTTGAGCATTTGCCTACCATGCATAAAGCTCAAAGAACAGAAGGTTCATACAAAAAGCATTTAAAAAAACTTATTTTAGCCGGGCGATGGTGGCGCACGCCTTTAATCCCAGCACTCGGGAGGCAGAGGCAGGTGGATCTCTGGGAGTTCGAGACCAGCCTGGTCTACAGAGCTAGTTCCAGGACAGGCTCCAAAGCCACAGAGAAACCCTGTCTCGAAAAAAACAAACAAACAAACAAACAAAAACTTATTTTATGTTTGTGGGACTCCGCCTTTGTGTATATATGTGTACCACATCTGTGCCTGGTGTTCATGGAGGCCAGAGGGGTATCAGATCCCCCAGAAGCAGAGTTACAAGTGGTTATAAGCCTAGATGCTGGAAATCAAACCCAGGTCATTTTTAAGATCTCTTAACTGCCAGCACTCTTAACCTCTGAACCATTTCTCCAACTTCTGAAAAGCCCTCATGTTATAAAACAAAACAAAACAAAACAAAACAAAAATAACCAACAAAACACACACACACACACAAGTATATTGAAGAGGTTAAAAATTCTTCTGAAGTTAGATTAGGAAACTAATTTTGGGTTTAGGGATATAATCACTATGAGATTAGCAGTTGTCTCATGACCTCCTCATGTAAACTGTTGTACATGTGTGTTCATGCACACACAATAAACAAACACATGTGAAATCACAAAACCAATCAACATTTTTCCATCTGTTAATCTACTGAGGTAGTAAAGTGACATATTAGTTATTTTTCTTTCTTTTTAAAAATTTTACTTTTAAAAAAATTTATTTATTTGTATTTTATGTACATTGGTGTTTTGCCTGCATCTGTGTCTGTGTGACGATGTTTGAGCCCCTGGAGCAGGAGTTACAGACAGTTGTGAGCCGCCATGTGGGTGCTGGGAATTGAATCCAGATCCTCTGGAAGAGCAGCCAGTGCTCATAATCGCTGCGCCATCTCTCCAGCCCCATTAGTTTTCTGTTGCTGTGACAAGATATCATGATCAAGGCAACTTATGAAAAAGAAAGCATTTCATAGGGGCCTTAAAACTTCAGTGGGTGTGTCTTTAACCTTCATGCCAGGGAGCATGGCAGCAGGCAGGCAGAATGGTTCTGGAGCAGCAGCTGAGAGCTCGTTTCTCATCTATAACCACGAGGTAGAGATCAAGCTAACTGAGACAGGAGTGGGCTAGTGAGAGCTTTTGAAACCTCAAAGCCCACCCCCCATGGCACACCTCCTTCATCAAGCCCACACCTTCTAATCCTTCCCACACCTCTGGTCCTTCCCAAACAGTTCCACCAACTACGAGGCAAACATCCAAACATGTGACCCTATGGTAGTGCACACGCCTGACCACTCTATTCCCTTATTCTTCTTGACACACATGACGGTTTCCCATGGGATCAGCAGCGTTTGCTTGGTGTTTTTGGTTGTGTGCTAACTGCACACAATGCGTTAACTGTACACTCAGTGGTTAATTGTGTACTCAGTGACCCATTATTTGGGTGTCTCATACATCGCCACTTGTTCAGTGCTAATGGGCCTGTGCTTGGCTCAGCATCAGGCTTTTTAATGACGCATGGGAGCAGAAGCAGCTTTTGCTCTGTGTCAGGCATTTCCTCAGTAGAGTCCTACAATTAGAAGCCAGGTGAGGTTGTAACCTGCATCTGCTTTAGTACAAAGTTAGGAGGGTAGAGATGGTATAAAAACAGATAAAACTGGGATGGGGGAGGCTTGTCGACCCAGTGTGACAAACCACTGTCACAGCTACCTACCAGCTCGCTTTGTCACTTATCTGGGATAGCATCTCCCGCAGCACAGTCTGCAAACTGGGCTGTAATCCAGGTTGGCTTTTGCTTATTTGAATTAAAGTGCACTTACTTCGAATTTCTTGATACACGTTACTAGACAAAATTATAAAATTTTTGTTATCTTAAAAGAGTCTAAATTCAGCTCTTAGAGATGGAAAACAGAGACCTAGAGTTGGAGTGACTCGGATCTCAGTTAGTTGACAAGGATGTTGACTCTATACAGGCAGAACACGTGTTTTCCTTCAGAAGTGACATCCTTTGTGTGAGGAGTTGACCGAGCCCAGGATCAGATGCAGAGAATAGTCATGTTGGTGTATGTGGATCTGGGGTGCAAATATTCCTTTGAGTGAAGCAGAAGCTTTTCCTTAGGCCTCTTAGTGAACTTAATTGAACCCTCTGAACATAGACTTTTTAGGTTTGGCAGGCGAGCACCTGCTGTTCTTCCAGAGGAACTGAGTTTGGTTTACAGCGCACTTACGTACCAGGAGCTCACAACTGCCTGTAATTCCAGCTCTGGCCTCCAAGGGCACACACAGAGATGTTTGCTTACATAGAGATTGACACAGGCATACACATAAATAAAAATAAAGTAAGTCACTGGGTGGTGGTGGCACATTCCTTTAATTCCAGCACTTGGGAGACAGAGAGAGGCAGGTGGATCTCCGTGAGTTCGAGGCCAGCTTGGTCTAGAGCTAGTTTCAGGACAGACAAGGCTCTTACACAGTGGAACCTTGTCTCAAAAAACAAAATAAATAAATTAATCTTAAAAATCACTAGTCTTCCCTGTCTTTGGTCACAGAATAGAAAAAAGTTCAGTATGTTAAAGATTTCAGCTCTAAATATCACCTTCTGGGTATGTTTAGAAGAGAGATTTGGAGGGATAATTTTTAAAGATGAAGCATTTTTCTTACACAGACCATTTCAAATTAAGTGTTTAATACCAAGACAGGAAAGAACCTTTACATTTAACTAACACAGTCATTGTATATAAACGAGGAAACTGAATTCACAAGTGAAAGCCAGTTGAGAAAGAACAAGGACCTGTGCTCCCTACCTGATACCCATGTGACCCGGGGCAGATCCTTCCTGTGCTGCTTCAGGTTCTCGTCTCTTTACAGAAGTTCTGTGTATTAAACGTGGCTGTGAGCATTAAAGTGCTGTGTGTTCAGTGCCCAGAGAAGTGCCAGGTACTGTGTTCAGTGGTGAACTGTTTAGTCAAGCCATCATGCTTTCTGACTTATAACCATAGCTGCCTTCTAGAGTTGGTATGTTCTTCTCAAAAAGGCTTCAGACCTTTTAAGTCCAGTTCACCACTTCTCGTCATTCCTGTCTTCTCCTAGACCAGTTGACAGGTTTGACCGAGACAGGCCACTGAGAGGACGTGGAGGCCCCAGAGGAGGCCTGAGGAGCAGAGGCCGAGGTGGACCCGGGAACAGAGCTTTTGACTCCTTTGACCAAAGAGGGAAGCGAGACTTTGAGAGATACAGCAGCAATGATAAAGCGTAAGCTCCTTTGCTGTGCCATTTCTACTTCAGCTTTTGTGTCTGTTGATGATCAGCTTAATACGAGCGCTGTCATTCTCGTGGAACAGGATTTCATTCTGTAAGATTACATGCATCTGTGTGTATGTTGTGGGGGTGGGCTGTGACATGCATGAGTGCCGTGCCTGTAGAGGCTAGAAGATGATGCCAGAGTTACAGACAGTTGTTGCTGTCTAATGTAAGTACTGGAAATTAAACCCAGGCCCTTTGTAAGAGTTGTCTCCGCAGACACTGGGGCAGTGCTTTCTGATTGGGAGGCCGATGAGGAACATGGCTGTTCTTTGTTTCTTCAGAGCAAACAGAATGGAGGACAGCATGGGTGTCTGCGGTGTGCGCTCCTGGGGATCAGGTAAAGACACTAGGTAAGGTGCAAGGGTGTGTTCTCTGAGAGCCTGCAGTGGAGCCAGAGTCCCTGAACCTTGACTTTTTAAAAACTGTGTTCTCTCTGGTTCTGTTTGTCAAGTAGAAATTGATGTGGATTGTTGTTTGGAGTGTGTGTGTGTGTGTGTGTGTGCGCGCGCATGTGTGTATGTGTGCAACTGACTGAATCAGGAGAAAGCTTTTTAAAACATAGTTGTTGTGTTGTACTTAGATTCTTAGACTGTTTTTAACTTAGCTAAAATAAGATAAAATAATAGACCTTTAGGGGGTCAGGTATGGTGGCAGATGCTTTGGATTGGGAGGCAGAGGTAGGAGGCTCTCAACGAATTCTGGACCAGCCTGGTCTATATAATGAGTTCCAGGCCAGCCAGGGCTACATCATGAGACTCTGTCTCAAATAAATAAAGCAAGTAAATAAGCAAATAGACCTTAAAAACAACATAACAACTATGTTTTTAAAAGCTTTCTCCTGATTCAGTCAATTGCAGATGTACACACACACACACACACACACGCCCTAAACAACAATCCACATCAATTTCTACTTGACAAACAGATGGCCACATATATGCTCATATATCTTAAGTATATGGTGTGTACACTTGCACATCTCAGAATATGTTTATATATATATGAGACAGGTTCTCAATATTTGGCCCAGATTACTGTGAATCCTTCTGCCTTAGCTTTCCAAGTGCTGGGGTTATAGACATATGCATCACACTCAGACCTGTACTTTATTTCCCTGTGAGTGTCCAAAGTTCTTACAGCTGTTTATTTGGTAAAGTATTTTTCAGGGTCTTTACACGTGGCTCAGGTAGAACAACTCACAACTGGGTGGTGGTAGTGCACGCCTTTAATCCCAGCACTCTGGAGGCAGAGGCAGGTGGATCTCCGTGAGTTCAAGGCCAGCCTGGTCTACAAGAGCTAGTTCCAGGACAGGCTCCAAAGTTACACAGAGAAACCCTGTCTCAAAAAAAAAATTTTTTTTTTGCTTATCATGCAGAAAAGTCTGGGTCTGTTTCTAGCACCGTATGAACTGGGAGTGATGGTGCATACCTGTAATCCCAGGTTCTGACGTTCAAGGTTATCTGTAGCAAATAAGGAGTTCATGAAGCCTTGTATCAAATTGAGCACTTGCTGCTCATATAAGGGAGTTTCAGAAGTTTTGAATAACTCTTCTATCTTTGGTGGGCACTGTGCCCACACGGTACCCAGACAGGCATGCAGACAAACACACATATACAGAAAATAAAATAAGCTTTTAAAAAAATTGAAAGCTATAATAATTTTTTAAAATCATTTTTTGAGGTTTACTTATTTTACGTATATTGTGCTCTGTCTATCTGCATGTACACTTGCATGTCAGAAGAGGGCGCCAGATCCCATTATAGATGGCCGTGAGCCACCGTGTGTTTGCTGGGAATTAAACTCGAGACCTCTGAACCATCTCTCCAGCCCCCAAAGCTGGAATTCTTGCCAGGCTTGGTAACATACACCTGTGAGTTCAGCACTTGGAGGGAGGATCCCAGCCCATTGCAGAGGGAGGTAGATTTGTATGTGAGTTTGAGGGTAGCCTGGTCTACACAGTGAGCTCTCAGACACTCGGGGCTACACAGTGAGACATTTACTCAAAAATAAAATATATAAAAAGAGAAAATGAGGGGCTGGAGAGATGGCTCAGAGGGTAAGAGCATTGCCTGCTCTTCCAAAGGTCCTGAGTTCAATTCCCAGCAACCACATGGTGGCTCACAACCATCTGTAAAGAGGTCTGGTGCCCTCTTCTGGCCTGCAGGCACACACACAGACAGAATATTGTATACATAATAAATAAAAAAAAAAGAGAGAGAGAGAAAATGAAAAGATAGATTCTCCAGTATTATAAGAGTTTGGATTTTTTTCCCCTGATCATTATCGTCTGGTCTTAAATTTAGAGCATTTATGGATGTTTCTATTTATCTCTAATATTTTGGAAATAACTTTTTGTTTTTAAGGCAGGATTTCTCTTTGTAGCCCTGACTGTCCTGGAACTTGCTTTGTAGACCAGGCTGGCCTTGGACTCACAGAGATCTTCCTGCCTCTGCTCCTGAGTGGGAAATAACATATTTTTAAGCAGCCCTTACTACTGTTTTTCACTGCAGTATGGATATGGTCGCTTCAAGGGCATGCCCCTAAGAAACGAGGCCTAAATTGTGTTTCCTTGGCGTGACAGACTGTATGACAAATGTTCTTGCTGCTTTTCAGTGACACGGAGCCAGCTGCACCCATGGACGAGATCTCAGCGATGGAGGAGTCCCAAGGCACCCTGGATGAGGAGTCTCCCGCCAAGTAGGCAGCTGCTTCTTAGACCTATGGGTTATCTCTCATAGTGATTCTTAATGATACATTTCCCCTCCCCTCTCAAGATTGGACACTGTGTGCATGTGCGTGTGAGAATGTGCATGTGTGCATGCGAGCATGTGTGTGCGTGTGTGTGTGTGCGGGGAGGTTGCTTGTGTGAATGTAGAGGCCAGAGCAGGGTACTGGGTTTCTTTCTCTGTGGTTTTGTCCCTTGTTGCCTTGAGATGGGTCCCTCACAAATGAAAGCTCACTATTTCAGCTAAGTTAGGTTGCCAGTGAATTCTTAGGATCCTTCTGTCTCCACTCCACATTCCTGGAATTTTTAGGTGGGTGTTGGACATTCACACTGTGGTCCTCATGTTTGCAGGTACTCTCAAAGAAGATGGGATCTCTCTGTGTAGCCCTGGCTGTCCTATAGTGCAAAATTCAGACCAGGGGTCTCTCTGTGTAGCCCTGGCTGTCCTATACTATAGTGCAAAATTCAGACCAGGGGTCTCTCTGTGTAGCCCTGGCTGTCCTATACTATAGTGCAAAATTCAGACCAGGGGTCTCTCTGTGTAGCCCTGGCTGTCCTATAGTGCAAAATTCAGACCAGGGGTCTCTCTGTGTAGCCCTGGCTGTCCTATAGTGCAAAATTCAGACCAGGGGTCTCTCTGTGTAGCCCTGGCTGTCCTATAATGCAATATTCAAAGCAGGGGTCTCTCTGTGTAGCCCTCGCTGTCCTATAATGCAATATTCAGACCAGACTGACCTTGAGCTCACACAGCCTCACTTCTCTCTGCGCCCCAACGCTGGGATTAAAGGTGCACACACCTTACCCAGCTGGAGCAAGCATTCTTAACCCACTGAGCCATCTCTCTAGTCTTTCCTTAATGGTTTTAAAAGCTGAGTCCTTTCTCATATCATACTGGGTTGATCTTATTAACAAACTAGTTAAGTAATCTGATAGGTTTTTTTTTTAAGTGAGAATAGATTAAATTCAAGCATTGTGTCTTCTGCCCCCTTACCTCTTCTGTTTTGCTTTTGTCCCCTTTATTCTCCTGTCTTCCTTTTTTCCATGAAGACCGGGTCTCTTGTTCATACCTAGCACACTGAGGCTTTAAGCCTCCTTTCCCTGTGAATGAGCGAGGGTGCTAGCCACAGAACTTGTAGGATCCTCCTGTTTCCTAGTTTTGTCTCTCAAGGCAAAGCCACCTCCTGGAATCCATAGCCAAGCAAGTCACAAGGCAGGGCTAATTGGAACCTTTGAAAGGTTTTTGTTGTTTAGTTTGGTTTTTATTTTTATTATTACTATGTGTGTGTATGCATCACATGTGCATGTGGAGGTCAGAGAACAGCTTTGTACATTGTTCTCTCCTCCCTCCTCTATGTGGATTCCAGGATCTATCCCAGGTCACTAGGCTTGTGTACAGCACCTTTACCCATTGGGCCATCTCTCCATCCCCTCTGGACAATCACACCGTGCAGCATCCCAAACCTTGACAGGACTTTCCCCTGGTGTTGCCACACCTCTGAGCAATCCAGTGCCCCAGACAGGAAGCTGGTGGTCTTCCCATCCTCAGAGCCTCTTTTCCTCGGTGCAGAACACTGTACCATCTCTTCTCCCACCTCTTAGAGCTTTGGGTCCATTCCCACAGATTTCTTCAAACCCTCAAGCTGTCAGTGTATTCATGTATTCCTCCCCAGCTCTGGTCTTCTTGACATTTTAAATGTGTGCAGTCTCCTACTGGCCTTGCACTGTGCCACGGTTATTTCCTCTCTTACTCGTTCTTTTAACTCCAGACCTGCCTCCTGTTGTCATTACCCTCTGAACACTCCCTCCATGTCACCAGGCTTAATGGCTACTTCATTCTGGATTTGTGCGGATTTGAGCTCTGCTCTCTGGCTCTGGTTTCCCTCTGCCTTGAACATCTCCTTTGTGACTCATGAGGGTTTTGCCTTAGGCCTCTTCTCCTTTTCTGAATCTTTACAGTATCTTACATACCTGCTGCTTAAATTGTCATGCCTGTGTTGACACCAGAATACAGATCAGTGGCTTCCTCCTTCAGTAAGAGCTCAAGGTCTGTGTGCGTCTCTTGCACACCTTCTCCAGCATCCCCTCCGCTTTGCACGCTCAGGTGACTGCACTGCTTGCTTCCCCATAGACGTCTGACCTCACCAGTGTCTGTCTGCTGGAACAGCATTATCACCTGTTAGCTTCCACAATGGAAGCTAAGAAGTCTCCCTGGGAAGCCCTGTCTTCAGTCCTTTCCCACCCCCAAATTCAGGCCTGCGCTCAGACCCTAACTGTTCACTGTCTGTCACTGGTACAACCTAACCTGTTTTCTGGTTGTCACTGCAGCTCCCGATGGCCTCTGCATTCCCACTGCACCAGAGTGGCTCTTAGACTGGTTCTCTGAGTGTCATGTCCTCCGACCCCTTGAAACCCCCTCCAGTGGCTTCCTGTTCCCTCCCTGTTCTTACCCTGATGTGTACAGTCCCGCAGGGCCTGGCCTCGCTGGGATGCTCAAGTTTGACTATTCTTGTGCCTTCCCAGGATTCATTTTGTGGCCCCTACTTCGTGTTCTGAATGTACCTTATCCTCACCCCACTGGGAGCCGTAGGCTTGCTTCCCTGCTTGCTGAATTCTGCTCTTGACCCTGCTGCTGGCTTCTTACTCACCTTCAGCTGCAGAATAGACTGCACCAGTTTGATCAAGTTATTTAATCTGCCCTCATCTGTAAAATGGGGCTAACCAGCTGCCGCAGCATGGAGTTGTAAGGACTGTGTTGTGTGCATGGCTATGTTCATATCCACAAGTGGGAGAGAGGGAGGGGCACCGAGAATGGAGCCAGAGCTTGGTTGCCATGTAAATACCTGCCAGTCTCATCTTTGCTTCTTATAAGATTGGCAGTGACTGACAGTCGCAACAGCTGCGAACTTACTGCTCAAAACAACTAAGAATGTGTTTTTAAAATCGGACTCATAGTTAATGTGCCTATTTGGACAGTGTTAACTAAAGAAACAGACGCATAATTTCTGGGAAAGTGAATTATGTAGGAAACACTGTTAGAGGAGTAAACACTTGTGTGTGTTCAGGTGCACAGAGGTTGAAAGCCAGCAGGTTTTTATCATTCTAATTGACAGAATTAAGACACAGTAGCCTTCCTAATATTAGACAAGGTAGGATGGACTAACACTGGAGGAGGCTAAGCAAGGCCACCATGCTGCTCTGTGCAGAGCAGCAGAATGTAAGCCTCCGTGGGAATTCAGTGCGGCCAGCAGAGTAACCATGTTGGCCAATGTTGAGGAGCTCTTGTTTCTTTGGCCCCGTCAAACTTCAAAATCATGGAAATCTCATAGCGATGTGCCATTTTTGATGGTTTAAAAATTCCATTCCTTGGCCGGGCGGTGGTGGCGCACGCCTTTAATCCCAGCACTCGGGAGGCAGAGGCAGGCGGATCTCTGTGAGTTCGAGGCCAGCCTGGTCTACAAGAGCTAGTTCCAGGACAGGAACCAAAAGCTACGGAGAAACCCTGTCTCGAAAAATCAAAAAAAAAAAAAAATTCCATTCCTTGCCAATAATGTTCTCTCCTCGTGGCTCTGGCTGACTGACTTGACATTGGGCTTTCAGCATTAGCCACAGTGCAGCTCCAGTTCACCTCTCGGGCTCAGAACTTCTCGACGGAAGAGCTTGAATCCTGCATGTACAACCTAAAACACACACTTACTCTTCCAGTTTGGCCAGTTTACTGATGTGTTATACACTTCCTCCCTTGCTTCACGCAGCAGCTGAATTGTTCCTCATCACAGCGTTCTGACGTTGGAGGGAGTCTGCTACCCTGACTGCTTTGGTCTCTGAGTTTTCCTCTTCACTGGAGACCTCACATAAGTGGGATCTTACACAGGAAAGAGGACACGCTGGTTTATTTCACTCTTCATCATGTTTCCAAATTTCTGTCATTTAATGACCTTCCTTAATACTTTTGTTTTGCTTTGTTTTTGGGACAGGGTTTCTCTGTGTAACAGCTGTGGCTATCCTGGAACTCACTCTGGAGACCAGGCTGGGCTTAAACTTAGAAATCACCTGGCTCTGCCTCCCGAGTGCTGTCATTAAAGGCATGTGCCACCATGCCCAGCCTTTGTTATTTTTTTAATCCCTTATTTTCCTTATCTGTTCATCAGACAATAGACACTGGTAGTTTGTAGTTTGAGGCACTGTGTAGTACCACTGTGAACATTCGTGTGTGGTCTCATATGGATGCATGTTCTCATTTCTCTCAGGTGTGAAATTACTAGGTCATATATGAACTGTCAGAAAAAAAAATTTCGAGACAAGATCTCTCTATGTAGGCTGCATTAGAATTTGCTATGTAGCCTCAGGAGTCTTGGGGCTCAGCTGTCCTTGAACTCACAGAGGTCCAGCTGACCTTACCTCCCTAATGCTGGGTTTAAAGGCATGAACCACCACACCTGACTGTAAAATTTGAACACCCACCAGACTGTTTTCTAAATTGACACACAATTCCCTAACCATATATTTTTGACACCCTTGTCAACACTTTTTAAATGCCTTTAAAGACACTTTTTTTCCTTCTTAAAAAAGAATTATTTTTATGAGTGCTTTGCCTGCATACATGTATACCACATGCGTGCCTGGTGCCATGGGGTCCAGAAAAGAGCATTGGATCCCCTTGAATACAGCTGGTTGTAAGCCACCACGTGAATCCTGAGACCCAAACCCAGGTCTTCTGCAAGAGCTGCAAGTACTCTTGCTGATGAACCATCTCTGCAACCCTTAAAATGCCTTTTTGATACCAGTTGTCCTGTTAGGTGTGGAATGGGGTAACTTCTTGTGGTTTGCCACCCTTCTCTGACAACTAATGATATTGGGCATTTGAAAAGGTTTTTAATGTGTCTATTTTGCCTGCATGTGTATGTGCAAATGCAGTTCCTTTGGAAGCCATACGAGGGCACAAGATTCCTTGGAACTGGTGCTTCCAGAGCCAGCCATCTCCTAGTCTGTTTTAGATAGGATGGGGACAGAACGTTTGCTCAACACATGCTACCCCTAAGCTCCACCCACAGTGCTCCAAAAAGGTCTACAATAAAAACCTCACTCCAAACTGACTCATAGAAGAGGGTAAAACATGAACGATTTTTAACAGGTTCTCACGATGAAGTTACCAGACAAATGTGGAAATAAGCATGAAGATATAATGAGGCCACAAGAAAACCTAAACTTATAATGTGATCAAAAATAGTTCTGGCATAATGAGGAAGAGGTCTAAAAAGGGTTTGGAGCATGGGCCTGGAGAGAGTCTGAACCAACAGAAGGGGTATTTATAAAAGTGTACTTTGTGACCCATTGTTTTAAGACTTCAGTCCATGGTTTCCATGACTTTGTGTCCACAACATCTCTTATTTTTCCCCAATTATCATATTGCCCCCTGCCGTCAGAAAAGGTGCATGATGGTGTAATTGATGGGGAGAACATGGGGTGATGACGTCATTTTCACAAACCACTGTGAAGGTACCTTTAGTTTGCAGTGCAGGATAGGATGGAAGAGATAAAACTCAGATGTGACCCCAAGGGTCTGGTTACTTTCCACCTTACTACATTTCTAATAAAGTGCTACAAAAGTTCCATCAGCAAAAAAAATTATGATAATATACCTTTACAGAGTTCCTGAGTTGGAGGTAGAAGAGGAAAATCAAGTCCAAGAGATGACCTTGGATGAGTGGAAAAACCTTCAAGAGCAAACCAGACCAAAGCCTGAGTTCAACATCCGCAAGCCAGAGTCCACAGTTCCTTCCAAGGCAGTGGTGATTCACAAGTCCAAATACAGAGACGATGTAAGTAAGCCTTCTGTCTTGGGGGAATATGTACTGCTGCCCTCATCAGGCACAATCAGACCTCTCTTGGAGGACGTGAAAACAGAACCATCTGTGTGGGGAGTGTGATGTGGAGGCCAGAGGAGACGTGTGGTTCTCAGCACTGAGGCCATCTCTCCAGCCCCTCCACCTGAGGTTCTTGTTTCTGCTCAGGCCTCACCAAGGGTGATGGGAAGGAATGGCACTTGGTGTGTCGACAGGAGAATACCGCATTGTCTGCTGGCCTTGAAAGTAAGCCAGGAAGACACAAGCGCCAAGGGTTCCGTCCACCTTGGCCTCTCGGAGGCACAGAGCAGCTGTTTCAAAGGCTACTATTTTGATGATTAGATCGCCATCCCCTCGGGTTCTTTCTTTTTTTTTTTTTTTTTTTTTTTGGTTTTTCGAGACAGGGTTTCTCTGTGGCTTTGGAGCCTGTCCTGGAACTAGCTCTGTAGACCAGGCTGGTCTCGAACTCACAGAGATCCGCCTGCCTCTGCCTCCCGAGTGCTGGGATTAAAGGCGTGCGCCACCAACGCCCGGCCCCCTCGGGTTCTTTTGTTTAAGACAAAGTCTTGAGTATGTAGCCTGGTCTGGCCTCAGACTCTCCATCCACCCATGTTTCAGTGTCCCGAGGGCCAGGCTAAGGTTTGCACCACCACACTCCTCTTTCATGATGAGCATTCCACTGGGTCAGTTATGAGTTGAACCAAGACCAGGGAACCTATATGTAAACAGAGGCTTTCTGCTGCTCCGCCCAGTCCTGCAGCTGCTTTTAAAATACTCAGAGGCTTACTAGTACTTATAAGTGCATGGCTGATGGCTAAGCCTTCTTACCAGCTAGCTCTTAACATTTAAATTACCCGGTGTTTCTTATCTATGCTTTACCACATGGTTCGTGGCTTGTTCTCATTTTCTACATGTCTTGCTTCCTTTGTTGCTGGCTGGCTGGCATTTCCAAGACTCTGCCCTTCTTCTCCTCTATCTCTGCTTGGATTTCCCTCCTGGCTCTTATTTATCAACCAATGAGACCACATATTCACAGTATACAGAAAGACATCCCACAGCACCTATATTCTGTGATCCCTTTGTTACGGTATTTGAACAGCACTGCTTCCTCTGTCTAACTCCAGAAACTGCTGAGAAGTTCCTAGATCGCTGATGGCACTGTCAGGTACCAGACTGCAGCCAGCTGTACTGAGGGCATTATTATGGACTCTGTGTTGTGTAGGGTTATTCTTCACAGTTCCTGTCTAGCACTGATCCTGTGTGTGTGTGTGTGTGTGTGTGTGTGTGTGTATACATACTTACTCGTGTGTCTATCACTCTTCACTTTTGTTTTGAGACATGTTTTGAGACAAGGTGTCTCAATGAACCTCGGACTCACCAATTCAAGTAGACTGGCTAACAAGCTCCAACAATCCTAATCCTGTCTCTGCCCCCCGCTGTTGGGGTTACAGATGCGCTCAGCTTTTTACACGAGTGCTGGGATCCACTCAACCCTCATGCTTTATGCAAGCACCTCCCCAGTATCTCCCCAGCTCAGCATGGGGCTTTTTACCAGATGCCTGGACAGAGAGTCTCCAGGGAAATAATGTTTATAATAAGTAAATAATGTTTACAAGGCTGATCCCTTACCACTTTCTCCTGTTACTGAAGTTAAAGGAACACTGAAGCACCCAGGTGCAGAGTTTAGAATTCCTGTTGTCAGGGCTGGAGAGATGGCTCAGTGGTTAAGAGCATTGCCTGCTCTTCCAAAGGTTCTGAGTTCAATTCCCAGCAACCACATGGTGGCTCACAGCCATCTATAATGGGGTCTGGTGCCCTCTTCTGGCCTGCAGGCATATACACAGACAGAATATTGTATACATAATAAATAAATAAATATTAAAAAAAAAATTCCTGTTGTCCCAGCACAAGCCAGACTGTGGTGATAAGCAATCTTCCCCGCTGGGGAGACTCGCCAACTTCCAGTCAGCTCAGAACACTGTGTATTTTTCTCTGTGTTTCTCTATTAGTTAGATTTCCAGTGTTGTAGCAAAATGTCTGAGATCACTTATGAGAAAAGTTTTGATTCAGCCTCAGGTTGTGTGACCCAAAGATGCAAGCAGATGGCAGAAAGCCGTATGCTTGCCTCACTGCGGCCAAGAAACAGACAGGAAGGAGCTGATGTCCTAATGATGTCCCCATCTGGGACTCAGCCCCACGACCCACTTCCTCTTACCATGCCCACCTCCTCCAGATTCCTGTGAGGATTTTCATGCGCACTTTGGTCAGTTGAGTACTTCATTTAGGAGGCTGCTGATGACACAGTATATCCACTCTGCCTTCCTGGTCAGCTCAAGGTCTAAGACACTTGACTGGTAAATTCTGAGGTGTTCCACCAGAGACCTAGGAGGCCAGAGTTGGCTTAGCAGGCAGCACGTCTTTTTGTTATTCTTTTCTGTTGTGAACACTAAAAATGTAGCTTCCTGTGAAGCCCAGTACTGTTAAGGCTGGGAAACAGGTAAAAATAGTAGCCGGTTCCTCAAACAATACATATTATCCTAGGACTTTCTTTGGTGGGAGGTCTCTTAAGACACCAAAATCTTCGAGGGTAGCCTAGTCTGTAAGAGCTAGTTCCAGGACAGGCTCCAAAGCTACAGAGAAACCCTGTCTCAAAAAACCAAAAGACCCCGAAACCAAAGTAAGTTAGCAACCCCAAGATTTGGCTCATGTTGGTTTAAGAACGATCCTGGCTAAAAATGTCATAGATTAACTAGGACCAAAGACATTTACCTTTTTTTTTTTTTTTTTGGTTTTTCGAGACGGGGTTTCTCTGTGGCTTTGGAGCCTGTCCTGGAACTAGCTCTGTAGACCAGGCTGGTCTCGAACTCACAGAGATCCGCCTGCCTCTGCCTCCCGAGTGCTGGGATTAAAGGCGTGCGCTACCATCGCCCTGCCAAAGACATTTACTTTATTGAAACCAAACTAGCCGAGTCCGATTCATATTCCCTGGCTGCAGAGATCTGTCGGAATATTTGATGTAACTATGTTAGCTAACTCATTGACATTCAAAATACACTTGAAACATGCTAATATAATCTTACATTTTAACATACCCAGAGTGGGTTATTTATTTTTTTATTTGTTCCTTTTAAGACAGGGTCTTACTATGTAGTTCTGGTTGCCTTGAAATTTACTATGTAGATCAGGATGGCCTCAGACTCAGAGATTCACCTGCCTGTTTCCTGAGTGCTGGGATTAAAGGCATGAGCTACCACACCCAATAGGATTTTGGTTCTACTTGAATAGTAAATTCAAAGATGCTTGGTCAGAGACTAACTAGGATCCCATACCTATATCCCCAGCACTTGGGAGGCTGAGGGCAGGAAAGCAGCCTGGGTAGTTTTGCTTGTATTAGACCAGTGTCTGGTGTCTAGCTAGGACACATCCAGGGTCTTCCAAGTCCACAGGGACACACAGGCCACCAGTGCAACGTTTTAAAAATGTTCGTTACTAGGCCCAGGCTGTGCATCTGTGGAGATGGCCGTGCGTGTGACCGCCTGACCTGTGGCTGTGTTCCAGATGGTGAAGGATGACTATGAGGATGAGTCCCATGTCTTCCGGAAAGCTGCCAATGACATCACATCCCAGCTGGAGATTAACTTTGGTAACCTCTCTCGGCCCGGACGGGGAGCCAGAGGCAATGCCCGAGGAGGCCGAGGAAGGATCAGAAGAACAGAGAACTATGTCCCCAGAGCAGAAGTGGTGGTAAGTCCTGACGGCCTTTTGTGACCAGCTGCAGCAGGCCGCACCCCAGAGCCTCAACTGTGTGTCTTCCCCTGCCAATCTCGCGTAGATCCCCAGCCTCTAAAGCACCCTTGTGCACAGCGCCCTCCAACAGTCGAGGTTTCTGAGCAAAGGCTTCCCTCATGAACCATTTCTTCCTGCTGTGTCCCCCTACTGCGCGATTACCCATCAGTGCTGCTCCCTCCAGGAGGCTATAGCCAGTCCCAGCCCAGTCTCCTGTGCTGGGATGAAGGGTCTGTAGCTTGTTAAACACACAAACACAGGGCTGGAGAGATGGCTCAGTGGTTAAGAGCAGTGCCTGCTCTTCCAAAGGTCCTGAGTTCAATTCCCAGCAACCACATGGTGGCTCACAGCCATCTGGAATGAGGTCTGGTGCCCTCTTCTGGCCTGCAGGCATATACACAGACAGAATATTGTATACATAATAAATAAATAAATATTAAAAAAGACAAAGACAAGACCTTTTTAAGCACACACTTGAAGTAAAAACAAATGTATTCTGTGAACAGTAACTGCCACTCCTGTTGAGCGAACAACCGCAAACTCGTGCAGGACACAGGTGCCACATCTGTCCCCTGCTCCTATGCTGAGGCTCATCTCAGGACTCTTCAGAAAACCTTGCTGTGACCCCTTGCTGTGACTTAAGTTCCCCACTTCAGGTCTCCCTGAAACTTAAGCTCTGTGTGGGAAACTGTGAATTCATTCTTGCTTACCTTAGGTACCTAGCCTGTAGTAAATGGTTACTTTTTAGGTTTATTTTATACGTATGTATATGAGTACTTTACATGTGTGTGTCTACCACCTGTATGCCTGGTGCCCTTGGAGGCCAGAAGAGGGCATTGGATCTAGATGGCTGTGAGTTACCATGTGAATGTTAGGGATCAAACCCTGGTCCTCTGGAAGAGCAGCCAATGTTCTTAACCACTGAGCCTACTCTACAGCCCTAAACAGTTACATATTGGGACAAGAAAGTGTCAAATCCAGAGGGCAAGAAGGAGACAGCTCCTGACGGTGGCCCTCAGGCCACTGTGCCTTCCACTGTGGCTCCATTGGTTCCTCCCTGGGCTGTCAGGGGTAGAAATGAGGTGGAAATGTGTCACCCAGTAAGTGGTCTAATGCTGGCCACAGCTGGGTAGGGGAAGTGACTTTAAAAAACCTCTCTTTTCTTTAGACCCAAGATGTCGCTCCCAACCCGGATGACCCTGAGGACTTCCCGGCCCTGGCCTAACAGCCATTCCCCGTCAGCAGAGCAGCACTATGAAGAGACTTTCCTTGCCGCGAGAAGAGTCAGACTCTAAGAACAATAGATGTTGCTTTTCCCGTGTCGTGTGAACTGGCTGCACTTTCTTGCTCTGTGGGATGTGAAGTGCAGGTCCCATGAGGTCAGGCACTTCCCACAGATGAACGATGGAGACCTTAGTAAGGAATAATGTTTCAAATGTATACATAGATTCTAACAGTTCTGCCACCGAAGTCCAGTGTAAAGTAATCAGACGGCAGAGCCGCTGGGCATGGTGGCGCACGCCTTTAAATTCAGCACTTGGAGGACAGATTTGTCTACAGAGTGAATTGTGAAATCCAAGAAAATAAAAATAAAAAAGAACCACCTATTGAGATGACTTAGGGAGTTGTCTAGACAAGCCCTCCAGCATTTCAGGAGCTGCCCATTTAAAGCAGCCATAGCCTGGTTTTCACACCATTGTCCATCACGCACCAGTAACAACCACTCGGTGAGGCAGAGGAAGTACTAGCTTTCAGTGGTGATTTAAACTACCTCGTGGTATATGTCTGTGCACACTTAGTGTTCAGATGGTTGTTAGGTGTATGATTTAAAACTGTGTTATTTAAGTCACTAATCAAATGAAAAGCTTCCTGGTAAATGTATAGTTTTTCTTTCTTAAAACTATTGTCACCTGGCAGTGGTGGCACACACCTTTAATCCCAGCATTCAGAGCAGAGTTCAAGGCCAGCCTGGTCTATAGAGCAAGTTTCAGGACAGTCAGAGCTACATAGTGAGTAAGACTCTGTCTCTAAAACAGACAAAACAAAACAATAGTGTCAGAATTCAGCGCTGTTACTACGGACTTATAACTCAGTCCCACTTACCAACTGTGAACACCGTGGCAGGCTCCTCCTCTGGGCCACCCTCTAGTTCCTGTGTTGTTCTTCCCACCTCTGGTGGAGTTTAGGAATCACTTCATGGGTCAGTCACTCACCTGGAAGCCCACTAGGCAAAGCCACCCAGCCACTGGTAAAATCGGAAGATTCCTCATGTGGGGGAGGGCCGAGCCAAGGTATCACAGCTGTGGAGATGTGCTTATGGTGGAGCCTCGCCTCCAAGACCCGTGTCCTTCCCACTTGGTCATAGTCTGAGATGGTGCTGAACTGGACCCAGGTGTGAGGGTCGGCGTTCCCTCTGAACTCTCTTGGGGTTTGGTTGAATCAAAGTTGAACCTCTAGATACGTTACTACCAAGGATGTTCGCTTCGGGTGTCCTCCTGCTTCTGATCCCATGTTTATTAAATGAATGAGTACAAAGATATATGAACTGACTGTCTTATTCATTTTCCCTGGAGCTGGCACACTGCTTGTGAGTACTATGGGATGGCTGGGGCAGTGTAAGGGCTGCCCCACGACATCATTCTGCCTCCCTTGGCTCTGAAGGTCAGCCGAGCAAGGCTGCCTGTTAAGAACATTCCCATCTGAGTTGTCAATGACACTGGGAAAGCTTGAAGCAATGCTGCCTCGAGTCACACGGTCAGACGATGGACACCTTGCTGATTTGATGGGGCGAGTTGATTTAATTATTGCTTGTACCTTGGGTCACAGCCTGGGTATTCCAGAGAAGATGGCAGAATACAAGTCAAGGGCCGGGCGGTGGTGGCTCACGCCTTTAATCCCAGCACTTGGGAGGCAGAGGCAGGCGGATCTCTGTGAGTTCGAGACCAGCCTGGTCTACAAGAGCTAGTTCCAGGACAGGCTCCAAAACCACAGAGAAACCCTGTCTCGAAAAACCAAAAAAAAAAAAAAAAAAAAAAAAAAGTCAAGGGCAGAGAAAGCCATCAGCAAGATCATTCTGCATGGATGTATACCCAAAGTAGGACCCAGGCTCAAAGTTGCCTGCCAGGCTCCTTTGAGGGGCTGGGGGAAACATGTCATGAGGTGGGCACTCTCAACCGGTGATTCTGACCGATAACTTAAAACCCAAACAGATTAGTCATACCAGAGAAACCTTGTCTCTTAGAAGTGGGAGACCATTCCGGGGTGGCCTGTGTGTGTGTGACTTCTGAACCAAGTGGTTTCAGACTTCAGGGCTGTAGAACATAGCTGGGCAAAGGAATTCTGCTTGCCTTGCTGGGGCATGAGCCGTGCCAACACATCGTTTCCCATCTCTGGATGAGTGACAACTTAAGGCGTTTGGGAACCAGAAGCTGCTGCTGTGCTAGGGATGTCTGCTGCAAGGGCCTCCACAGGTCTGCACTCTTGGCCAGGCTGTTCTGCAAACGTCTTTGCTGTTTCCAGGCAGGTCAGGCACACACTGTCTTGTCAGCCTTAGTTCCTCATGTGCAGGCAAGGCTGAAGAGCCAGCTGTCCCAGGGTGGGAAAACTGACCACACTCTTGTGAACATGTGCTGCCCACTGCAGGCTTACCATGCAGTACTACAAGGAGAGGCAAGGTCCGCCCATATTTCCTGCTACTGCTACCTCCCACCATCCCTGTGAGAATCAATTTCCCAGGGTCCAGTCTACTCCCTCTGTGGCCCTAGGTACAACCCAAGGGACAACTCCGAGTGGACCCTGAGCACTGAATTGGCTGGGCAATGTCCTGTAGTCACCTATGTTTATATGGTACAGGAAAGGATTAAGAAAAAAAAACAAAAAACAAACGGGTTCACCCGAAACTTTCCTTAAATAGATGAAACCGTCCTTAAACAGATAGAACTCTTGATGACTAAAGTCCACACCAAAACACTTTTCCTCAGAGTCTGTGCTAACGTCATTTCTCCCTCAAGGCACCATATCCTGACCCACCAGAATTACTATTAAAAGGAAACAATACAACTCAGACCACCCACAGCACGGGTGTCCCCACCATGGGAAGAGCCCAAGGCAGACAAAGGCCCCATTCCCCGAGCCCAGTGTTCTTTCTAGGCACTGTAACTGGAACACAAAGGACCATGTGTACCTCAGTGGGACATAGGAATCCTGGAGTATTTGTGACACGCTCCTGCTTTAGCTACCCCAAGGACCACCATCAGAGAGGAACTGGGGTAGACTAGGAACCAAGGGAGAGCTTAGTCTTAAGACCCTAGCGGCTCCTGCTGCCTCAACCCCATCCATCTCTGCTCCAGAACTTTTGCTCAGGCTACAAGGCTTGGTAACAGGAATGTCCCTAATCAAAACAGGTGTTTACAAACCAGAGAACCACCTGTGGGCCTGGCAGGTCCAATCAACAGGGCAGAGCCACAGAAGCCTTTAAAGCACTCTTCATAAGAATGCCCAGTTGCAGATGGCCAACGTAGCTGGGGACACAGAAACATTTATAAGGGGGTGAACAGAGAGGCAGTCCTGAGTTGTCAAATACTAAAGGCACCACGGGCACCTATGTGCTCATTCCTGATGAACCCCAGAACCGTAACAGGAGGCTCTTTATTTAATAAAGTCCCAAGTGCTCAGGAATGCAGATTGGCTTTTGGAAGGGCAGAAAGGGAAGAAATAATACCAGGCGGCCTATGAGGTAAGTGAACCATGACCGGCGTGACCACTGTTGAGGATGTTCTCTGAGCATCCCATAAGGCCTTGAGGTAACAGGCAAACAGGTTGTTCTCCCCGGCATGCTGTGCACCCGTGGAACCAGCCATGCTGCTGGAGAAGTTGAGGGTCTTTTGCCCACGGGAGGCATTGAGCTGAGAGGGCTCAAGTGGTAACAGCCCCACTGGGCTTGTAACTGAGCAGCTACCCCAGGGCTGTCAACTGGGCTCCCTCCTCACCCACCAACAGAGCCGACGTGACACCCAGTGGCAATACTGGAAGAACGAGGCAGACACGTTTGCGGGGTGGCTGAGGCACAAGCCTGAGAAAATAGGCTTACATTGTACAAGATTCGCAGTGAGGAGCGCAGCACCGTAGTCAGGAGGGATCTCTGGAGGGTTAGGCCCTGCGGACTCTGAGCCATATCAAAAGCCGGTCTAGAAAGGTTACAGCCCGAGACAGCCAGCTATCACTGGAAAAGGAGGAGATGGTTAAGCTGTTCTCAAACCTGTTCTTACCCCTAGTCCAGGGCCAGCCATTGTGCTCATGGCAAAGCATGACCAATGAGACCCTTGCAGAATGTCCCTCCGGATAAGTACACCATGACCGCCTCTAGCTCCCCTCCCCGTCCTGTCCTGCCAACCCACAATGCTGGAGGACTTGCTGCCAACCCCAGGCCTGCCTGAGGTGTTTCCTGTGTCGTCCAGTCAGACCACAGACCTCCCCCATCTCCAAGGGAAAACAGATACAGGTTACCGTGAAGACACCTAGGATCAGGCAGGAAAATAGCTGACTAGACAACCCCAAGCTCACCCTAGAATTTGGGCCTCAGAAGCTCCACTTTTCCACTGTCTCTAAGTGATGTCTTTTCCCTTCCCATTGGTCTTGGATCAGAGCAGAAAGGGCAAGGAACCCCTATTTCAGCAGGATCCAGTGCTTGGGCGGCAGCTTTGATGCTTCCAACAAAAGCTCTATACGCACTTAGTCATTCTGGGGGCAGGGCAGCAGAATCCCCTGACGTTGGCAGAAATGGGAGAGGAGGGGACGGGGGCTGTCCAATGTTTGGGAGTCTGGCTGGCACTGAGGTGTGGGTGGGACTGCCAGACACCCAGCATCATCTAGAGTCCTACACAAGGGAGAACTGTCCTCTGAAAAGATTCGTTCCGTAAGCTCGCTCCCAGTAAGGCAGCACCCACCCAGCCTGTACCTCCTCCCCCGCCTTCTCCTACCCAGAGGCTGTTTAAAACTGTGCTGTTCTGTGAACACTGGTGAGTACTGGTAGCAGGCAGCCCTATGAGATCCGGTCCTCCGGGCCAAGTGCCTCCTTACCTGGCCAATTCTGTTTGCACAGAACACTGGTCATCCATGAGCTCGTCAAGGCCATGCAGACTGGCTGACAAAGAGATGAGACTCCGTTAGAAACAAGGCAGGACTGCAGGCGTGGTACAGGGAAGCACCTAAGGACTCCCACACATATGAACCAGTCCCCTCAAAAAGGGAGCGAGGGAAGAGACTGTACAGATTGCCCAGAAGGGTCCTTTTTCCTCCCACAACAAACATGATAGAAACAGGGTCATACTGTGCCAGTCACCAACAACAAAACACTTCAAATCTGGATAAAAGAGACCCCATCCATGACCTCAGTGCAGGGCGGGGGGTCAATATCCTGCTATCTGACTAACCAGCTCATCCACGTCTCAACAGCTACCAACGGGAGCTGTTACCATCCATTTGAAAAGCACTATAGCAATATTTTCATATTTTTTTAATTGAAAAATACATATTAGTAAATACCAAGCACTTGCCCTGAGTGGCTCATGGTATTAACTCATATAATCCAGCAGGAATATTATCATCCCCATCTTATAGAAGTAGAAACAGATCGATTGACTCAGTTCCAGTCGACAGTGGTCAGAGACCAGTTTTATACAAAACCAGTCTGGGCTCTCCTGCTCCTACCATGCTCCTACCAACATAGGCGTGAAAACTGGCTTTGCTTCTTTAAAAGGAAATGTTTGTGTGTATGTTGGGGATGGGAGTGTGTGCACCCTGTAGAGGGCTGAGGACAGTTGTGTCGAGTTCTTTCCTTCCACCTTTCTGTGGCTTCTAGTTGGGCCATCTTGGTAGCCCTTTTGCTTAGCTTTCCCTTCGCCAGGGCTCTGAAGAAGACACTCCCAGAGACTTGCCTGCTTTGGGTGTATTTCCACCTTCCCGCAAAGATAATGTGAACTGACCCCATTCCGATGCATGAGCTTACATACCAAAGATACCAGGAAACATGGGAGCTATAAATCTAAAATCAGGCTACGTTATCAGACATTCACTTGTGCTAAACGGTACAAAATAACCTCCGCAAACCTGTGTTCCAGTCGTGGGGAATACTCTGCATGAACTGTTTCATTTGGTTCACTAGGGAAGGAATGTCAGTGTGGAGATGAGACTACAGACCGTGTGGCCCCGGGTCACACAAGCAGAAAACCCAGGGAGCTGAGACATAAAGGGCTTTGCCAGGTATGCGACCAGGCTGCATGCTATGATCCAGGACCTACAGGCCCCACGCCTACTATTCCTGACTCTTATCTTCCAGGTTGTCCAGTGTGGAATGATTTTATAGCAGGCACCCTCACTCACTCACCTCCTGTGCATCCTGAAGCCCTAACCCCTCTGTACCTTACAACTGGCTACATCTAGAGGCAGGACTTTTAAAGAAGTGAAGGCAAGCCACTACCATGGCCCTAATCCATTCTCACTGGTGACCTCCTAAGACAACTCCAGGGATGGG